GCCCCCTGGTGGTCAGTGTGTGTCATAGTGACCAGTCATTCCCAGTCGTTCTGCTGTTAGGGTCAATTTGCATATTACCCTTTTATTATATAGGATGCTGTTTATCTACAAACCACATATTAGAGTTAGCATTTTACAGAAACAATGTCAAAATAGTGGGTGGATTACAATGTTATTGGCTTTAAAGTCAATCTTCATTCTTTAAGGCTTTTTGGTGACATCCAGAGTCCAGGCATGTGTCTTTCTTTCCAATATGACATTCTAGTCAAGATCTTGGTTAATAAAACCACAATTGGAAACTGGGCTTATTGAATTCATGCAAAGAACCTACTGCCATGGCTCACTCATTAAAAAATTGCCTAATTTTAGAGGGATCAGGTAGGGAGAAAAATATATAATTTGCCAAATTGCTTTAAAAAATGTCTCTTGCCTGACTGGTGTGGCTTGGTGGTTGAGCATCGACCTATGAACCAGGAGGTCACAGTTGGATTCCCGGTCAAGGGCACATGCCCGGGTTGTGGGCTCAATCCCCAGTAGGGGGTGTGCAGGAGGCAACCAATCAATGATTCTCATCATTGATGTTTCTATCTTTCCCTCTCCGTCTCCCTTCCTCTCTGAAATCAATAAAAATAGTATTTTTTTAAAAGCCAAAAGTAGGGCAAAGATTACATAGGGAAGTAGGGATTACAGGCTGGGGTGGGACTCCATTGTTTGGGCAACAAGGTTGTTCATCTTTCCATGATAATAGGGAGTTCTTGAATGAGAACTGACCACATTCCAAGGTTGACTTCCAGGTCCCAGGATGACTCCCAGATCCCAAGGGCATACAACTCCCAGCCAAGTTAGAATGTCCTTTTTTTTTTTTTTTCAAGAAAAACTATTTTAAATATAATAATGTTACATGCAATAAACATTAATATTGCAAGGAAAACTATTTTAAATATAATTTAATATACAATAAACATTAATATTTCAAGAAAAAAAGATTTTAAATATATTACCCAAACTGTACTAACATAGTATAATGTCACAAAAGTTGTAGGAAATATTAAAAATATAATGTCCTTTAACCAACACATGGCAATCATGGTTAACAGAGCAGGATTAATACTTCCCTTAACCATGACGCATCCATCTTATATAAATAAGAACTGCTGTTTGAAATTTTAACCCTGCTATTCTGGCTTAACTGTTGAATAATAAGGAAAATAAGACTACTCTCATTCCAAAGAGGCCGTAAACTATGCCCCAGAGTCGTCAGTGCTGACACCAGGCCAGGCCTTGAGATATGGTCTCATGACCCCTTCTCAGCATGTAGGCCCTCTTTCTCAGAAGGCCCAGAAGTTTCATTCCAAATTTGGGAGACAAAGGACTGGAAAAAGTATAAATAGAGCGGTTTCCTCCATGTTGGGGGGGCCAGAATTTGAAAGACACATTTTTGTCTGGGCCTGCGCAGAATTTAATAATAAAATGTAACTCCCTTTCTGGAAGCGTGGCTTGGTTTTAACCCGGTCTTCTGCAACAACCATACCTAGTCCCGATATTCCATTCTTGTCCCTAACAATTTCTGAAAGCCATAAAGGCTTGGCTGTACGGAAAAGACACATTGATCCAAGGAGGCCTCATCCTCCATCCCCTTCCCTTTGGAACAGCAAAACAGGTCTAACTGTAGGATAGTATTAAACTTAATGGTGCCATGAAGTGGCCAAGTCTTTCCATTGCCCATTCCATAGTGAGGCTAGGTTATGTTGCAAAAGAACCTCAAGGGACTCAGGGTCAAATTTCTCCCAGTTGGCAAATATGCATCCTAAAAGGTACCTACAGGCACTGTGGACTGGTTCCCCACCTACAAGAGATAAATACGTTCCAAGCCAAGAGTTAGAGGTGTCAGTGCTAGCCTGGGCTGTTTTGGGCCATCCTGCAGGCACCCAGCTCCCCATTCCTGCAGGCACCACTCTACAATTGTCCTTTGCCAGGGAACCAGTGCTTTCCGTCCTGGTGACCTTCTGCATCCGGCCCATTCTCCTCGCTCTGCTTATGGCTGGCTAACTGCGGACCACACTTATTCTATTGTACAGGGAACCTTTAGAATCACCCAGTTGCTTTTTTTTTTCATTGCTAGTCAACTCCAGAGTTAAGCCTGTGCGTAAACAATTAATCTAGGAAGACTATTTAATCCTAGCCTGGGATCATCAATAATCTTGATGTTAAAATTTTACTTTCGTTCGCACACGTTAAAGACAACAAAAGGGCTTGTTAGAGACCAAAACATGGAAAGGTCACTTGAAACAGAATTCAAAGTCATTGCTCCCAGCCTCTCCTTTGGGGTAGTTAACGGTTCCGGTTCGAAAAAATCCCGGTCCCTTTTACATGGCTGGGTGGTGTCAGAGCAGCTAAGTACAGGGAGACCCTGGGCCAGACCCAGGCCCCCGTCTGCCCAGGCGACGAGTTGCGAGGTGGGGGCGGG